GACACTTTGGGTGGCTCTCACCAAACCGGTTGACGTTTACTCTATCATAATGTTGGCCATCTTCGTCGTGCAGATCGCTATTTATCAACTCCTTTTCAAGAACTCTGAACGATATTTCAGCATTATCGTCGTTAACTACGCCCTGGCTTATTTTTGTATCATAATCGTTGGCTGGCGCTGCGTCGCTCTATATCCAAGCATATACCAGAGCCTCACCGAGAGTCTGAGGTATCCTCTGTACTTGGAACTTGGCATTGACAATTCCGATGCAGGAATATGGAAAACTTCATTGACGGCTTTCACGGCGGTGATCTGTATGAGGATGGTCCGCTTTGCATCGTCGCTGCTCATACTCGAAGACCTCGAGCAGAATGAGGAATCTAATGTCAATTCATCGAAGGATCCACGACCTTTCGGGACCCGAGTTCTAGAAGCTCTTTTGATTCACACGGCCAGAGTTCTACCCTCTGTGGTGATCTACTGCATATTTCTCTTTTCGGTCTTCGAAACGTCACTCGCCAGTGTGGTTCTCATGATAGCTTCCGCTGTTATCTTGTGTGTGGGCCGAGGATGGAGTACTTTCATTTTGGTGGTGTCGCTGGCGATATCCATATTCTTCATCCTGCAGTACGTCTTTCGGTTTTCGTTCACGGAGAACTCCATCCCTCAGGACACAGAGCAATGGCTAGGGTTCTCTTGGACTGGTGCGAGTGTTGGTCGCAACATCGGTATCCTGATCCTCTGTGTCGTGCAAAGGAACTTCGACTATACGGTCCGGTATAGTCTCTCACCGTGGGGTCGCAAGTCTGTGAAGCACTCATCAATCTCGTTGGCGTATTACACTCCTGCGATCGCTGCCGCTGCCCTCATGATAGCCGCTGGAGCTCGTAGCAACGTGTACAGCTATATGTATTACTGCATGGCCGCATCTCTGATGTATGCGGCGAAGCATGGTGCGAGTCCAAGACTGCATAGACTGCTGATCACGTGTTTTGTTCTCGTTTTCTGTATCATCATACAGCTGCTGTTGCGGCTGTGGTATCCGCCCTGGTGCATTGATTGTCCGTCACGATTTGATGGTAGTTTGGTATGTGGACCATCGTGGATCAATGCTGGTAGGGCCTACACAGCATCCTGTCAGGACGACTGGCAGAGGTTCCTCGTGGCACCAGAGAGTCTCCAAGGGAATACGGCATTGCACTCCTATCCGTCGGTCCCAAGCTACATCACCGTTATGAACCCAATCCCAAACGCAGCTCTGATTTGGGAGCTCTCCTGTCTGTGGATCATCGTCATTCTGATCCGCAATATTCGTATCGGTTTGAATCGAGACAGACCGAGAGGTTTCAGTTCGAATCTGATTCGGCAGAACGCACAGTTGTCGCTGGATAAAGCTGCTAAGATTGGCGTTAGACGTCCGAACAAGTGGTCCATTATAGCAATGCGTCTTTGGATCTACCTCTTATGGTTGCTAACGCTTCTGAGTGCCTTCGCATACACCATGGAGACCAACGTTATGACTGATATCATGTTATGTATGTTCATCGGTTTGCTTCGCTTTCATTTCGAGTCCAAAGCTGCACGGCGCCATATGGTGGTGATTACTATGTGCACTGCTGCTACCATCTTTGGTGTGCAGCTGTTCTACCAGATTCCGTTCATCCCATGTAGAGTGTGGCAGGATGCATGCAACCCTCTCTCAGTGGTGAATGATACGGCTCGTGTCCCCTATATAAGTCGCGCTACTTGTGTTCATCTTCAAGATGTTTACCATGATAATAGAGACCGATGCGGTGCTCTTGTCGAGCATGATGTTTTTACTTGGTTGCAAATATTCTTCCAAGTGATAGGCTTCGGCAAGTCGCATGGTGGCATCACTCTGCCATTTCCCTTTGGCTTCGGTCCGGTATTGCTAACTCTATGTGCTGCTTTGATACAACTACGAATCTATGATAGCCCTAGTTATGATGTTATTGAGACTGCCTTCATACAACAAGTGCGGTCAAGGAAGGCAAGGGCGAGGAGATTCATAAACGAGTTCAACGCCAATCTCTTCATATTGAGCCGCCAGGCTACTTGCACGATTGGGGGAATAGCGGCTAAGCTCGGTAGGGTCCGTGAGAAGGTTAATACTTTTGTTGATATCAACCAGAAGGGGTTCGATGTGACTGTGACTACGAGATTGGCAGTGGAGAATCGTCTGTCTATCGGCAGCAACCGGCTCGATCTCCTCGAGCAAGGTGGCACCAAGGCTGGCTTCAAGGAGGTTGAGACCATGCGAACAGAGCAGTTGCGTATCGACGGCTTCAGCGAGTACGAGTCACGGCGGGCCTTGGAGATCTGCCATCGGCATCCCCACGAGGCTCAGGCACTACTCAGTGATGTTCGCCGCTTTGGACTGGGAAAACTGCAAGAGTCTCAAGTTCTGCTCAACTACACAGAGCGGCTAAAAGAGTCCTTCGAGGACGAGACTCCGGGTATTCTGGTCAGCATATGGCAGTGGCTGATCCACAGCCTTGAGAGTGGTACCAACAGCATGAGATTCCTCGAGGACTGGAGAGCAGCGGATCCTCAGACACTACAGACCAGAGCTGGTGGCCTCGTAGCAGTTGCAGCGAAGTACTTAACATCTTCCACCATCTTTTTTGTCTACCTTTTCCTTGTGCTCGACTTCCTCGTTGCCACCTCTATATTCGACGCAGCTCGTGTTGTATTCGCGTTGTGGTTCGTTCCACAGTGGCCCCTGCAGCCTCGATGGATATGGGAAGTTCTCATTGTTGCTACTGCGATATGGTTTGTTATCCGCATGGCTTATCAAACGCCGTTGTTTTGCGGTGCGGCTTCGACTAATAGTAATTTCGGCATTCTTTGGAGGTTTGGTAGTAGTGATAAATCGCCGGTATATTTCGAAAGTGGCTACGGGAGTCCCCGAATGGCAACTGTTTATTC